AATATTTAGACAGTTTTCAAATATTATGTTCATAAAAAATATTTAAGGATAGGAAAAATGGTCAGGATATAATGCTACCAAAATATATGATTATTATAAGTGTGTAGTCATCATGGACCAAGTTGTGTTGTCTTTTGTTTGGTTTTTGTTTTTTGAGGGAGATTTTTGCTATAGGGCAGGTGCACCCATTGAAGAGACAGAGAGACAGAAAGCAAGATACAAAAATTATTTGAAATCCATGCATAGCTTTCTCATAATATGCATTTCTATGAACTTTTTGAAGATCTCACCTATGCGTGTGTACACGAGTGTATAGGTCATTGCCCATATGCATCGTAACATTAATAGGGACCGTTCCTGGGTGATAGGATTATGAGTGCTTATTGCTGCTTCTTTACCCTCTTCTTTATTTTCCAGTGTTTCAGTAATAAACATTGTTGCCTATATAATCAAAAACAAAGATAAAGTACACACACACATAGAGTACATACGTGGATTCTCAAGTTACTCTGAGGTGTGAACACTGAGTGGAACTCACCAGCCAGCCTCACCTCTGGAGGTCAGTGCACAGTTGGCAGGCATAGCTAAGCAGCCAGAAATGCAGATTATAATATCACTGCTTTGAAAATGTGCTTGACTGACTCCAGATGTCCTTAAAATTCAGTGCACACTTTGGAATCTTGATGGAGCATCAGAAGGGAACAAAACAGATGGAGTGCCAATCCTACTGCACGCTGCTTGTTTTTGTTTCATTATGTTTTTTTTTTTAATTTTTATTTCTACCAAGCCAATGTTTACCCCAACTACTTTATTCTCCATTTTCTCGCATATCCAGTAAGCAAGAATAGCCTTCTTCTCCTTGAAGGAAAGACAACTTTCCTCCCAAGTGTTAAAGGGATGAGTCATGGCCAGCCGCAGCCATGCAGCTGTACCATGATAATCTGCACTGCTGAGGTCCGAGGTTCATGTCTTGAGGTCTCTGTGGGCACAGCAGGCACATGCACGCACCTGTGATCCTGGGTGGCTGGAGCGGGGGTTGGACTGCCGTGTGAAGGCCCTGTTAAGGGTATTTGTCTTTCTCTCTCCCTCCCTCCCCTCTGCTGGGGAAGAACTAAAGTTGAAGGAAAAGATGACTCAGGGAAAAGTAAGTGAACATAGAGCGTATGTATTCTTTTCTTATTCAGTCACCCTCAGCCCTCAACTTGCCCTTTGTTCCCCACCATTAAGATGCAAGTTTGCTGCTTTTGCTTTTATTTATTTATATTTTTGAGAGGTTTTTGCTATAGGGTGCATGTGCTCGCCAGAAAAAGAGATAGAGAGACAGAAAGTGAGAAATCACCCCCCTGGAGGATGGCCATGCCTTAATCCCTTCTCCTCCATTCTCCTCTCAGGATTTTGGGCACGCACACACATGCACCCGGCGAGAGTTTAGCAGCCAGGTCTGGGACTTGAACTACAGTCAACTACATGGGAGTCCAGCAACATAGCCATTACGCTAACTGCTGGTCCCTGTTTTGTTCTGTTTTGTTTTGTTTGTTTTTAAGAGGTATTTGTTTTAAGGTGTTTGTGCTTGTGGGAGAGAGAGACAGTGACAGTGAGAGGGAAAGTGAGAAATCAATCCCTAGGGATGATAGCCACAACACAGGTCCCTTTTCCTCTATTCTCCTCTTGGAATCTTGGGCACACATGCACATGTGCCTGGCATGAGTTTCAAGCCACTGAATCTGGGACTCAAATCATGATCGGCCATGTGAGTCTAGCAACGAATGGCTATGCCATCTGCTGGCCTGTTTGTAGTTTTTGAGGGTCTTCTGTGAGTTGAGGTGTCCGAAGAATGTAGTCTCACCACCAAGGCAGCAGTAAGAGCTAACCTTTATTGAATGACTACTATGGGCCAGGCAATGTCCTAAACACTTCCTTAAATTAAGGAGTTCACTGGAACTTCATAAGCCTCCTATGAGGGCAGGACTAGTGCCACCGTCATTTTACAGGGGAGGACACAGAGGTGTAGAGTACTTCGCCGGGACCACACAGCTAGTGCACGGTGAAGGTGGACCATGAACATGGGATGTCACCAAGGAGAAATGAGACTGAGAACAAAAAGCTGAGGTACACAGTTGGCTGTCACCAATAGGAATGAAGCCTGGATGATGCTAGATAAGCAGAATGGGAAGTGAGATTTTGCTGGAGAGCAAGTCAGTGAAAACAGACAAGGGGGTCAAAACTTACAGAAAAGAAGAGAGGGAGCCAAGCAAAGGCCACTAAGTGAAGACTGGAAGACAGGTAAAGCCATGCGGACATGCCGGAAGCAGGGCAGGGGTGGAGGGGCTGCGGGTGTGCAGCCAATTGAGCCTACAAAGCCACTCTACCGGAAGAGGCATGGAGAGGAAGGGGGCCAGCATGTTAGATTGAAAACGCAGGGTGTGAGACACAGAAAGTCAAGGGCAGTGTGATGGGATTGTCAGCCAAGAGGAAGGCAGGAAATGCAGGGGGACAGATCTTTCCACTCTGGGGAAGCAAGAAGCAAAGGAGGAGGAAACATCCGATTTGAGAGGAATTACGTCATTTCCTTTCCCTAGTTATTTTAACCTCATGTCTTCCTCAGCCACTCTGCCAAACAGATTGAGAAAGATGAACTGCTCTCTTGGGGAATCGCATTCAGTAGAATGAAATGGCAACACACCAGTTGTCGCTGTCCCATGGGGTGCTGAGTTGGGTTGGATGGCTGGATTTCTGTCTGTCCTCTGTGGGTTTAAAGACAAGGTCTCACTGTGTCACAATTCTCCTGCATCAGCCTTGCAGCTGAGACTACAGGCACACACCATCACTCAGCTCTTTTTTAGACAAAATCTCACGGCACTTCTCAAGCCAACCTCCAGCTTGCAATCCTCCCACCTTCGCCTTCCCAAGTCACTGAGATTGTATGCACACCCCTACAGCTCCCAGCCCTTAGAGTGGACCAAAAACTGAAACCGAGATTACCACGCAATCCCAGCCTGCAGCATACACCACCACAATGTGTGGCTTGTCCTCTATGTTTTCAGGGATTCCAGCTAAGAATGAGATCTGGTATCGGATAAATAGTTGTCATTTAACAAGGTTTTTGCGGGCTGGCTCCATGTCCTAGTGGTTAGGAAAGCTGTATCCCACATGCCTGACCATGAAGCTCAAATCCCAGCTCAGTAGTTTGAAAACCATGCCAGGCACATGCACATGCCCCAGATCTTGACAGGATGAAAAGATGGAGGAGAAGGGATTGCAGCATGACCATGGCCCATTAGGGCTGCCTTCTCTGTCTCTCTCTCTCTTTCTGGTGAACACTCATGTCCACTGGCAAATTAAAAGAAAGAAAGAGGACTTTTCCCATGCAGGATTATTTTGGCTGTGAAATAAGATCCCCTATGCAAAGGACATATGTGTGGGGTTTGACACTTAGTATGTCCTCAGTGAATGGTGCCAGAAAGAGGAGGGTGCTTCTCTTCTACTCAGAAATATTCAATGGCTCCCCACTGTTAACAGGACTCAAGTTCAGACATCTTGGTCTAGCACTGAAAATCTTCTATTACTAGCCCCTACTTGTATTTGTTAAAGTTTTTTATGTGTTTTAATTTGCCAGAGGGTATGTGCATTGGTCAGGGGAGAGGGAGAAAGAGGAGGAAAGTGAGAAAGCACCCCAGAGGCAGAGGGTCACACTAATCCCCCTGTTCCATTTCTCCCTTCTTTCAGGATTTTGAGCTTGCATGCACATGCACCCAGCATGTTTTTCAAGCTGCCAGGTCTGGAACTCAAGCCATGCTGTTGGCCATGTGGGATCCAACCATGTTAGCCACTATGCCACTGGCTCACCCAAGAAATGTTATTTGTTATTTATTTTGTATTTATTCTTACTCTATTATTTATAGATAATTCTTGGCTTTTCATATAGATCCATCTTCTTTTTGGTAACCTAAAGGCAATAATAATGAGTAACATGAATTGAGTCCTTACTATTCATCAGTCCCTGTGCTTAATGTATATTGTCTCAGTTAAGGATTCAGTAACTAGTTTAAGTGCATACAGCTACTGAGTGACAGAACTGGGTGTGGAACCCAGACAGTCTGATTCCAGAGTCTGTGTACTTGACAATTACGCTACCTTGTCTGCAGCCCCTACTTATACTTCCGCAACCTTAGTCACAGAATTAATTCACTAAGTTTCCATCTTGGCAGTTTTCATCCTACTCAGAAATGCCAAAAAGCCTATGAAGAAGACTTAACAGAGGGCATGGGTCATCTCCGTCACAGAACTTAGTCATGGAACATACACTAGAAGTTTTTAAGTTTATCTACCAACAAACTCTTTTAGTCTAGGTGGAGGAAGTGAGGACACATCCTCAGGTGCATCCTGAAATACTGCTCAGGTTTGGATAAGATAAGATGACAGTGCTGGGTCACTTTCTGGTGAGACAATGCAAAATAGAAGAGGGACATCACAGGGAGAAGAAACAAGAGCAAGTGTCACATAATTTCAATTTGAAAGTAAAGCTGGAATATTATGTTTTAAGATAGATGGCTCCAAGTGACCAGGCTTAGAAATAAGCAAATAGCAGTGTGCACAAGGTCTACTTTAGCAAAGTCTGAGAAGCCAGGAACAAGAAGAAAACCATTGCCGATACTGGTCTCCAGCTGAACTAAAAGTCACTTGAGCTTATATTGCAGACATTTTCCCCACCTACTTTGCTGGGTCAGTACCAAGCAGCTTTCTTATTTGTTGAATTGTTTTTGCCATGCAGCAGCCTCCTGGCAGTAACCTCCCCAGTGCCAGGGACACATACTTAGGATTCTACTACTAGTGCCATGATACACGTGTGACTTAGGCCTGGCTGGTCAGAATAGTTTCTTGGCATGCTACTGGTTCAGAGTTGGGTCTGTAACCCATAAAGAACCAATGAGATGTAATGAGACCCTCTTTGGGGCAGCAGGCAATAAGGCATTTGCTTTTCTCTGCTGGAATTTCCATAGGTAAGATGACGTGCACCTGCCCCTGCCCACGACGTCAATAATACAGAAAATGGAGCCGAGAAATGGAGGAAGACTGTGTCCTGACAATGTTGGGTGCCCTGGGATCATACTGCACCTGAAGCCATCATATCCAAACTATGTCAATTAAGTGAGCCATAAAACTCCTGTTTTTCTTAAGTATTGGGTTATCAGGAAAGTCATGACACATTTTTGCATAGAAAAATATGTCATGACTTTCCCAACGACCTAATATGAATTGGAAGTCCATCCCCACAACAGAAAGAGTCACAACAGGAACAGAAGCTGAAATTGAAAAAAAATACATCTCTGCCTGAGAGGCAGGATGGCCCAGGACCCAGGAAACACACTGCCACTATCACACTTGCCCAGTACACCTTAATACAAAGGCCAAGATTTACCAAACGGTGACTTGATGTTAACCCCCCAAAGGTCTAAGCAACTCTTACCCAGACTTGCTGGGAAAATATCCATCTTCTCAGATGCACAGACACCTCACCTAGCCAGGAGGAAACACCAGCTGTAGGAGACTTTACATATGCTTCCTGTCCCTTCACCTTCATCACAGCCAGCCCATCTACCCCCAAATCATCCTTTCCAGTGGTTGGTCTCATTGTGTCTCCTGGACCACATTTAGTGTCTTCTGGATTCAACAAGCTAGCTCCTCCCCTCCTGAATTTCTCCACCTTCTCTACTTCACCCATGCTCCCTGTTACTATCCAAGGCGTGGTCAAAGCTTCTCAATTTTCTCTTACTACAACAACCCACATTTGAACTTGGTTCTCTTATCTATAAAGTAGGACAATAATCTGTTAGGAATGTAGCTATTCAAACATAATGATAAGGCCCAGTTTTAGTGACCCAAGTGGTAGGATACCACCACATGGGGCTAGGGCTGCATGGGAGGATCCTGAGTCAACCTGAACATGCCAGGTCTGGCAGCACAGGTCTCTATTCCTGGATAACTGGGAGTCTGAGGCAGAGCATAGCATCATAATAGTGAGACCCTGTCAAAACAATGCCAGCAGGTAGCATTCTGGTTAAGGTGGCTGGATATCACATAGCCAACAGTACAATTTGAGTACAAACCCAGCGGTTTTAAAAACATGCCAGGCATGGTATACAGGCATATTCAAAATTCTGAGAGAAGAATGAAAAAGAAGGGATTAAGGTGTGGCTATTCTCCTGGAGGGTGCTTTCTTTCTTTCCCTCTGTCTGTCTCTTTCTGGAAAGCACACACATGGTCCAGCAAATAATAATAATAACCATAACAGCCAACATCCATGGAGCACATTAACACACATGAGGCATTAACTCATTTAAACTTTCTGCACCCCAGGAGATAAGCACTGTTAGTACTTAGGCAGTAGAAACATAGGCAGATTATATGACTAGCCTAGTGTCACATAGCTAGCAGGTGACAGAGCCTTTTTTTTTTTTTTTTTGGAGAGGTTTTCGCTATAGGGCGCGTGCGCTCGCCAGACAGACAGAGACATAGAGACAGAAAGTGAGAAATCACCCCCCAGGGGAGATGGTCACGCCGCAATCCCTTCTCCTCCATTCTCCTCTCGGGATCTTGGGCACGCACGCACACACGCCTGGCGTGAGTTTTAAGCCACCGGGTCCGGGATGTGAACCGCGGTAGACTACGTGGGAGTCCAGCAACATAGCCATTACGCTAACTGCTGGTTCCCGAGAGAGCCATTTTTCAAACCCAAACAGTTTGGAACCAGAGCTTTCATTCTTAACCGCCACACTCTGACTGCCCTAAGTGGTATTAAAATGATGAAAGAGCAGGGGATTTAGGAATGTCAGAATCCTGCCCAACCACTTTCATCCCAAGCTATACACCCCTTCAAGAAGTACACTTACAAGTGGCAATGGCAAGATACCTTTTGAATAACTATTTATCATCTGTCATTTAGGTATGAGGCCTAATATAGACCCTCCCTTCCCTGAAACCCTAATCCAGGTCTCATCACCAGTCAGCTACCCAAGCCTAAAGCAACGATAACTACACCAGGAGTGTTGCGAGAAAGTTAAGAATCACAACTGGATTAAGATCATTTCTCACTTGGGTCCAGAAGGTGACATGGCGGTTAAGGCACTGGATCCTACCATGGCCCACTCCACAGTTCAAATTTGAGAGCTGGCAGCTTCAAAAATGTGTGTGTGTGTGTGTGTGTGTGTGTGTATGCGTGCACGCACACGCGCACACCCAAAATGCCAAGAGGAGAATGGGGCAGAAAGGATTGCAGTGTGGCCATCTCTCCTGGGGGGTGGTGGGGGCGGGGACTGACTTCTCACTTTCCCTCTCACTTTCTCTCTCCAATGAGTGCACATGCCCTGTGTCAAAAATCTAAATAAATAAATAATAAAGGACAGTGTCTCACTCAAACCAAAATAGAGCACCAACATTCCAATTTGCCCTGACAGTCTGGATTTCTGTGCGTTTCCTTTGTGCAGATTCTATGACTTTCTTGTTTGGTTTGGACCCTAAATTAGTTGTTCACTCTAGGCTTCCTATATGCTAACGAGGAGAGGAGGAATAACATAGACACCTTTTTCTCTTGTGGTCACCTCTCTGGTTCATGTTACTACTACTAGGTACCCTCCAAAAACCAGGGAGCCAGCATTTCCATCCTGCAGCTGAGTCTCTCTCTAGAAGTTCTGAAATGATTAAGGGCAGACGGGAAGTCCATGTCCAAACTACATAACAGACAAACAAGATGAAAACAAATGATGTTGGCTCAGGCTGCTGTAACAAGACACCACAGACTGAATGACAGATTTGGCTGCTGAAAGGCACCAGCAGATTTGGTTCTGAGTGAGGGCCACTCCCTGGCCTGTAGGTGGCTGCCTTCTCATTGTGTCCTCACATAGCAGGGAGAGACAGAGTTCTGGTCTCTCCTCCTCTTCTCATTAGGGCACTATCCCATCATGGGGGCCCACCCTCATGACCTCATCTAAACCTTATTACTTCCCAAAAGCCTCACCTCTGCATACCACCACATTGAGGGTTAGGACTACAACCTATGAGTTTTGGGAAGATATAAACATTCAATCTATAAGAAAAATAACCAAAAGCTCACCCCAATTCCATTCCCCATCTCAAGTAGTATTTAGCTATGTCTCTACCGAGGCTTCTGCTTAAATCTCACCTTAAGACACAGCTTTCTATGACTAGCCTTTTAGAAAGTGTCCTTCAGCATGCACAGGTGAGATTTTCTTCTCTACTTTGGGTGTGTGTATATTTACATTTTTAATCGATTATCTCCCTTGGTCAAAACGTGAGCTCCATATGAGCAGTCCCAAACAGAAACTCTCTATGTGAAGTTTTGAGTGGGAAACCAGTCTAACTACTCCTGCTCCCCACTCTCAGCCCTCCTTTACTGGGCTCTGTGAAGATAGTACGATAACACGCGTGTAGTGCACATAAATGACGATGTCAAATCACCCACCTGCAGACAGGGGACTTGCTTATTTTATAACTGTATACTGTTTCCTTTAACAAGGGAGTCCCTATTCCCATTCACTGGGAAAATGAAATTTGCCCCAAACCTATAAATTCAAACCACATGACAGTTTTTAGTTGCTTGCTTCAAAATGTAGTGCCCCTTGAGTACATATTTAAATCCAGATTCTTTTGTTGTGATCAATTGTCCAATTTCCGTGCTCCCTTTGGATGAATTCTAAGTTCCCTCCCACCTCCTCTGGGCTGATCAAATCATCAGGAAGCCTGACCCTGCCCTCTGCTGTGCAGCCAAGCAGGAGGAGTGTATTTATTTATTTATTTATTTTACTTTCTTTCTTTCTTTATTATTATTATTATTTTTTTTTTTTGGAGAGGGTTTTGCTATAGGGTGTGTGCGCTCACCATAAAGACAGAGAGAGACAGAGAGACAGAAAGTGAGAAATCACCCCCCAGGGGGGATGACCACAGAGCAATCCCTTCTCCTCCATTCTCCTCTCGGGATGTTGGGCACGCACGCACACGTGCCCAGCGTGAGTTTAAGCTACGGGGTCTGGGATTTGAACCTTGGTTGATTACATGGGAGTCCAGCAACATAGCCATTATGCTAACTGCTGGTCCCCAGGAGAGTGTATTTAATGACCACCTGGTTCTGCTTCTGGTCTCACCAACCTCAGATGAGAGACAGGTAGTAGGCTTGCTTCTAGAATCATCCCAGCCTCATGAGACCTCTCTTCAGGCCCTGCCCCTGGGGAGGCAAGAAAGAGGTTGTGGAACAGGTCAAGTGCCCCTCCCAGGCTCTCCCCTCTACTATCCCCATTTCTTCCTGCTCATAGTCAGCCAAGGCTGCAAGGAGGTGGTGCCATGAGCTGGACAGACCATAGGCTGGGACAACTTCTCTGGTTCCACTCCTGGCCAGGGAGTTACTATGCCTCGCCTCAGGTTCTGGGGGCCTTTGTTCTCAGCCATCTGAGGGGAGTGGTCATGAAGGTCATGAAGAGAACACGTCATGCTCAGTCTCCAGTACTGCCAGAAGAAAGTGGCTTTCTGTACTGCTCTGTTCCCCACCCGTAAGTGCTCCAGAAAGCGCAAGGCTCTGCAGGCCCATGAGGTGTACAGGTGCCAGCTCCAGTCATTCTTGATTTCACCGTGCCACACTTTGATAGCCTTTTATCCCGGGGAGTTCCTGTCTTCAGAGATGACACTGCAGGGAACGTGAGACTCCCAGCTATCCTCCTGTGCATAGCTTGGCAGCAGAGAGTACGGGCACTGGAGCTGGAAGCCCGACTTCAAAGCTTCGCTCTGCTGCTTGCTTGCTGTGTGACTTCCAGTAAATCACTTACCCTCTTGTACCTCAATTTCTTCCCTGTACAGGAGGGTGATATTGTGAGAACTTGATACATGTAAAGCACATTAGGACCATTCCAGGCACTCAGCAAGGGCTAGCCATGGCTGCTGTCTGCCCAAGGTAGTCTCTGGGCAAGACAGGGCTGCTGCTGTGTCTCAGTGGGTTAAAAGGCTGGATCAGTGATTTTCTCACTTCCGTGCCACCTCCTTTGTAGGCGGTCCCTGCAAACCCAAGTGCAAAGATATCAGTGGCCTT